TCTTTGCTGCACACTGTCTGCATCCCGGCAGGGGACGATTCCTCATCTGATGTGCACATGCAATGAAAAGAGAAAATGACGACAGAGGGTTTAATGGAGCAGACAGCACTGCCATCCGCTGCAACGCCGAAGCCTGGGCCTGAACTCAGGCTCTTGGCCAAGGAGGGGAAGTGCCTGGATTCAGTGCCCTGCCCTATTTCCCCTAAAGGCACTGGGACTTCCAATTAATGCTGTGTCCTGATTACTAGGGGACGAGGGGGAGGGCGCAAGGCTGAATGACCAGCTCTCTGTTCTTGCACAGTGCTTGCTCTTTTGGGAACTGATGGCCGGTCCCCACTGTGGGTCAGACGTCACGGGCTTGAGAAGAGCCACATTTAAACACCTGATTTCTCCGGTTGGCTGTTCTCCCACTCTTCCTTGCTTTATGGGGACTGCTCTTTCCCACAGGGGAGAGACAGCCCAGGAGCTCCTGAATGGATGCAGCTAGTCACAAGGATGTGGCATGATGACACCCAAGCACACTACCTCTGCAGGTCTTGTCAGAGCAGGCAAGGTAGCTTTATGTTGGGAACCTTCAGATATTGGCAGCCCTCTGTGTCCAGAGAAACTTTCAGCCCCGAGAGCGGTGACATGAAGGTAAAGTGCCATCATTATCTGATGCTGGTACAGAAACTCAGCCTCAGAAGGCCAGGTGGATCCCACTGTCCACCAGGAACTTATGTTTTAAGTCACCGGCCCTTTCTGCGTTGTGTCTGACTTCAAAAGAATCCTTCCAGATTTCCTTCCAGCATCTTTAGTGATCAGCTCAAGGTCTGCTTTGCATCAGAAGCTTGTCTGGAGCCAGAATTAAAGTCTCAAGGCATCAGGCTCAAGGCTTGGTACACTGACCACTCAGTCACAAAGGCAGAAGGCGACACCCAGAAACACAAGAGCACATTTGTCCCTCTGGACCATGTGTGTCATTTGTCACTTGAAATACTTGCCATGTGGATGCCAATTATTGATTTCTTCCCTCCAGAGCAAATCCTATTACCGACATGAGAGGGGCCAGGACCCGACTCTCAGTCATTTTATTATGCGGCGAATTCCTTCCCTGCTGGATGAAAGCTCAATGCTGTATAGGTGATGGCACTCAGAGGTCCCCCGAGTGAGAGGATGAAGGGGCAGGGCCGTCTGCTCTTGCTTCTATGGGCCGTGGCATCATTGACACACTGCAGAATTTCAGAGGAAAATCGAAAGCTTTTTATTCTCTCAAAGGTTGCAGGGCAAGTGGAAGGACTTTTACTCCCTTGTCTATTTTAAGTAAAGTAAAAAGATGTGTCATGGAGGAAAAGAGATATCTGAATATCAAACTATGATTCTAAACCTGATGAGCGGAAAAGCCCTTGAGCCTGGATGAAACCAACAGTGCTGAGACTCCAACACCGATTGCACAGGTCGACCCGGCAGGTCAGGCTGCTCTTCTCTTTGCCCCTCGCACACCCTCCCTGCACGCACACGAGGAAGACCAGGGGCTTCTGCGATCACCCGCTGGAAAGGCAGGGAGCTGAAGACTCTCGAACCAGGCGGTACAGGAGAACCACCGGGGGCCTCAAAAACGATCCCCAGCTCAGAGAATCTGACTCAATTCATCTGGTGTAGGGAGCGTGGGTGTTTTCATGGGGTGATGGAAGTGGTAAATATTTATTACAAAGTGTTTATGAAAAAACAGGAACAAACTGATAGATACACAGGACAAACTGAAGGTTGCCAGATAGGAGCGGGGTGGGAGGGCTGATTAACAAAGGTGAAGGGATTAAGCAATACAAGTTGGTAGTTACAGAGAGTCACAGGGATGTAAAGTACAACATAGGGAAAATAGGCAATAATATCGTAATAACTATGTATGGTGCCAGGTGGGTACTAAACTTATCGAGGGAAACTAACCACTAGGCTGTACACCTGAAACTAATATACTATTGAATGTCAACTATAATTCAAAATGCTTTTAATTTTTAAAAAGTATATTCAGAAAAAAAAAATCGTAGCTTCACCACTAAAATAGTGTTCATGAAAAAGTGTAACATCCATACAGTGATGCACACAAATCTTACGCACACACCTAAATGAGTTTTTATAAATGAATCTCTGAAACCTCACCCCCATCACGTTACAAAATAGCGCCAACCCCCAGAAGCCTCAGCACAGGATTTTAAAACTTAGACTTAAATAATTAAAAACAAACAACTCTTCATGGTGTAAGAGTATTAACAATGAAATCAGCATGGATGTTTAGAAAAAAAAAATGCAGCCCTGGCTGGTTTGGCTCAGCGGTTAGAACGTCGGCCTGCGGTCTGGAGAGACCCGGGTTCAGTTCCCGCTAAGGGCATGTACCTCGGTTGCAGTTTGTCCCCGGCCCTGGTTGGTCGTGCGGGTGGCAGCTACTTGATGTGTCCCTTCACGTCGATGTTTCTCTCTCTCTCTCTCTGTTCCTCTCTCTCCCTCCCACTCTACCTGAACAAAAAATGGAAAAATGTCCTCGGGTGAGGATAAAAAAAATAAATAAATAAAAAAGAAAAATAAATGCCCCCTGTTGATTCTAATATACATACAGGATTGATCCAACAATGTGCTGGCTTTGCCACACTTCCGGCCATACAAAGCCTTCAATAAAGCAGGGGCATAAGGTTTTAATATTCTACTGATTTCTCAACTAGGTCATTATTTCTCAAGGTTCCTTCACATAGAAATTAATGGCAGCCTCAGATCATTGAATGTGTTATACTGTGATTGTTTTTGTCACTTTTCATGCATCATGTATGATTCACAAGCTCCCCTCTTTCCAGGTATGTATGGATGAGGCAGCCCTGTTTGCTATAATCAAGAATATCATATGTGTGCTTGGAAAAAAATAAGGGTGGAGATCTTGCTAAATTTTTGTGGCTTCACCACTGACGTTTTGTCTCTTGGCAAGGCTAGAGACAAAATCTGGAGCCCCCCTCCCTTCCTCCACGGTCCACAGGCAGAGATATGTAAAAGGCAGGGGCCTGAGGAATGAAGGCCTAACGAGCATAAAACAAAACAAAACAAAACAAAACAAAAGAACAACCATGTGGAGGCCTGGTGGAAGAATGCAGGCTGCAGAAGCCAATCTGAGCTATGCGTTTAGGAAGGCCAGCAGGAGAAGCCCTGAGATATGATGGAAGGGGGGTGCGGGGGGAGACTGCAATACCCCAGGAGCAGACTGCTCCAGAGGATGTGTGGCCAGAGTCAAGGAGCTGCGCTGTCATCAGAGGCGGAGACACAGAACGAACTGGCTTCAGAAGGAGTCAGCTGCCAGGTGGTGCCCTGTGCAAGTACCTGGCAGAAATGGCCAGTGGGGCTGCAACTCTGTCCACTCGAACGACACACCTTACTAAATTTGCACATAGGCTGCATACGGACTAGCGGTGGCTTTGGGAGCAATGCTGGGTACAGCAGACTCTGCCTGGCTCAGCTTCTCCTTTTGGGCTCCCTACACATAGCTCCTAAGAAGCAACTCCTTACATGACAGGGAAGTGGCTTTTGCATTTACAGCAGCTGAAGGGGACGGGAGTCAGACACAGCCCTACAGAGGAAGGTTCTGAGGGTGGCTGAGGTCCTCAGGTCCCAGTTGAAGGAGGAGAAACTCCTTGAATTCCTCACATGGTGGCAGAAGGCGAGCCTCATGATGAATCTGGATAACTGCCTGTATGCGGGCATCTCTGGCCCAGAAGGGAACAGTCTAGAAAGTAAGCCCACCCCTTGAGCTTGGCACCCCACACGCAAATGTTTGGCAAAGAAAAGTTCTCTTCAGGCCAAGTAACCAATTCCTTATGTATTGTTCTTGTTGTTGCTAAATACAATTTTGGTTTACATGTAACATTTTAGGTTAATTTAAAGTAAGAGCGTGACAACATGAATTTTGGAACTCAGTCTGGTAAGCCAAAACTGCATCTGAATACTAAAGTCTGTCTTGTCTTTGATTTTAGCTAGGAGTTGAATTCACTTACGACTGTTCCCTAACAGAACTATGCTTTACAATGAAAAATTCCTCTGTTCTAAAGGGGGAAAAAAAAGACAGCAGAAAAATAGAAATTGAGCGAAAGAATGAATTTTTGAAATCAAATTTCAGATTGATCAGATTTAGACAGAACAAAGAGTGAATTTTTGAGGCACACATGGGTTTAATTTATACAGTGTTCACAGTTTGCAAACCTGAGCCTGTTTGCGCGTGCGCATGCACACACACACACACACACACACACACAGGACCAGAACACCTCTCCACCCCTTTCCTTATATATTAAATTCAATTTTTGGATTCTGTTAACTTCTCCCTGAATTGCATTGTTTGTGGGTGAAGCAACTGGGAGTTTGTGGCTTCTGAGTGGGAGAGTTCTGCTCAGAAACAGGGAACCTTCAACGTGCAGAGGTGGCAGGAGCAGTGTACTTAGGAGGTACTGAGGAGGGGAATCTGTGGAGCAAGGACAGTAGAGTCACCTCTTAAGTTCTGCAAATTGAGGGTCCATAACAGGACAGGATTCCTGCTTCCATCCTAGGTCTGAGCTGCCAGAAGAGGTGGGGCGGACACAGGTGGGGCTCTGGACTGGCCCAGAGGGAATCGGCAAAGGCACCTGTGCGCACGTGGTGTATATGACAGTCCCCGAACAACTGTAAGTCACGCTGTCTTATACGTTGATTATGCTGTGCATCCTCTACATCCACATGGGTGGGGACCCCGGAGTTGATAGCACACAGGAAACAAATGAAAGAGATGGCGCTAAACACAGCAAAACGCGACAGTATTCCTGAACACCCACTGGCGTGGCCTTACCTTACACAGATCTCCGCAGCGGGGAAATCCTAGACATTGCAAAAGGGAGAAACATGATGATGACAGTGTTGTTCTCAGACCAGCATGCAGAAGAGAGAAAAGGGATGGGAACGGAGGCTTATTTCAAACTAGGTGACAGCCTGGCTGTGCAAGGCCGGCCTCTTACCGTAGTGCGGGATGATGGCCCAGGCCATGGCAGAGGCGTATATGCCGCCGATCATCCAGAACATGCAGAGCCAGCTCAGATGCTCACCCCGCTTCTCTCGGGCCAGCACTTCCGCAAAGTAGGAGAACACGATGGGAATGGCTCCTCCAATCCTGCCCAGAGGTACAGAGAATACATGAAAGCAGGGACCCCACAGTCATGGGAGATACAAAGGGCAGAAGCAAAGCTCCAACAACACATGCACGCTCTCTGTTCCAGCAGAGCAGAGAATGTATGCTTTCTATTATTTTATAACTTTAATATTGTACTCTCTGTGTGTAACACAGGTTTATCATCCCTGTAAAATCTTGAACCTGCAATTAAGCTAGGTTACCAAAAGGTGGCAGTGGTGTCCCACTTGTGGTTTACAGATCTTCACTTCAGATTCCAATGGGCTTCCAGCTCAGTGTTGAATGTTCTACATATTTGTCAAAGATTACAATATTTGGTGCAATCTAGTAAATATTTGAATAAATGCATTTTTAAAAAAGAGATAAAATGATATGTTCCATCCAAGATGTGTGACTTTGGAAACAGCTTTATACACTTCTGGGAGGCTATCTCCAGGTATACTTACTCACGGCTATTTTTTAGAGATGTGAATACTGTAAGTAAGTTGTAGACATAACGCCTAGTGTTATGGTTTAAAAAATACGTTCAGAGCCCTGGCCAGTTTGGCTCAGCGGTTAGAGCGTCAGCTTGCGGTCCAGAGAGACCCGGGTTCAGTTCCCGCTAGAGGTGTGTACTTCGGTTGCAGTTTGTCCCCAGCCCTGGTTGGGTTGTGCAGGTGGCAGCCACTCGATGTGTCTCTTTCACATCGATGTTTTTTTCTCTCTCTCTCCCTCCCACTCTATCTGACCAAAAAATGGGAAAATGTCCTCAGGTGAGGATAAAAATATATATATTCAGATTTTTGCAAGGTAAATTGATAATAATTTCCACGTAAATTTGATGTCAAGGAGTAAAATGTGTTTATCCATTTAGCAATAACGGATTTCTTTAGAGCATCTAATATGATAAAGAAGTATTGGCAATGACCTTAGCAAATGCAATCTGGAGAAAGGCCATGTCTACAGGAAACGGTGCACAAATGAACTGCAGGATTCGTAATGTCACTCTGCCTCAGCTAGTAGGTCAAAATATGGCACCCAGTCACGGGTGTGCCCTGCTTAAAGTGACTGAGAGTTGTTCACTGCTGGAGATAGGCAGACCACTTAGGCCAGTATTTTTTAGTCTGTGGGCTATAAAATTAATTTAGTAGCTGTAAGCAGCATTTTATTTATTTATTTTTAAAATATGTTTTATTGATTTTTTAGAGAGAGAGATAGAAACATCGATCGCCTGCCTCCTGGGATTGAGCCTGCAACCTGGGCACGTGCTCTGACTGGGAATCGAACCGGGACCCCTCAGTCCATGGGATGACGCTCAATCCACTGAGCCACACCGTCCAGGCTGCAAGCAGCATTTTAAAAATTAAATAGAGATATTTGAGTGCCACTCAAGTAACAAGGATAAGTATCATTTCAGGAAACTTTGTCTCCATTATAAACATATTTATGTTTCGTGTGCATATGTATATGTGTACACATGTATATAAAAATGTGGAGTCCCAGTGTGTTTCTTAACAAGTTGCTATACAGAGAGTTTAAAAAGCACTAACTTAAAGCCTCTAGATCTGCTCCCTTGGGCTAGTTGTACCTAACGTTTCTAGGACCTAACACGGCTTCAGATGCAGCACAAGTCAGTGCCATCACACCAGGGGCAGCCGGCCAGGTCCCTGTCCATCAGCCAGACCCCCAAACAAGAAGCAAATGTGGGTGGCGCTGTCAGAGCCCCTCGGTGCCGCACCTCATCGGGCACACACAGTCCTCTGTCTGGCTTCCCAAGGCCCTCAAACCACGGGCCGCGAGTTGAATTGAAAAATTCAACCAAGATTTAAACAGATTGAAAATGGTTTCATTACAACACACAATTTTAATGGGAAATAAAATGTCTGTGTCATAAATCATTTGATGCTACTCCTTTTTCCCACTCGATGTGAGGCATCCGTTTCTCTGCATCAGGTCCCCCACCTGTGGCCTCACTTCTCAATGCGTAAGAAGAGTCCCAGTTTTTGTTGACTTTTCACATCCTCATTAATGTTTCGCCAGGATTCTGGACATTTCATATGTAAGAGCGATAACTCACACTTCGTGAAGACACCGTTGCATGTCAAGATATGCCAGGCCGCTCTGAGCTGAGATAAATGTACTCCAGGTGACTAAAATGGCAACTGGAAGACTGTAGACTCGCGTGTTAGTTTTAAACAAATCACTGAGAATAGAACACCAACAAAAGAGAATACCAACTTTTAAGGGCCTATAAGCAATCCACCTGGTTTTGACTCAAGGCCTCTTTTTTAAGGTGATTATTTTTGCATGGATGTCTCTCGGTGTTTGTAAGACAGACGGCAGGGCACTCCTACACTCTCCGTGGGTAAATGAATCTGAAGGGTGAGGAAGGGAGTATATTTAAAGCCTTTGCAAAGTTCTTCAGATTCAGAGACTTATAAAACAATCCAAACATTCACATTTGTTATTGTGGGCTGATCATCTGTTTGGGGGAAAACATTGTCCCTTGTGCGATGTCCTGTAAGCGAGAAGCAAGCACTACAGTGTGCCGTGAAGTCAACTGTTACCAGAGTGTCCGATCCATCAGAATGCTTATACATCGTGTATATCATTTATGTTTGCAAAGATGAAGCAACAGACCAGGGTGCTTAACAAGGAATTTTTCTCAGGACTGGATATTCAGTCTATTTCATTAGCAGTCAGAAGGGTCAAATCTTAATCATCCTTGGTAATAAGAGGCACAGAGGAAACAATTGAAAATCCACACTCTGAGTATTTAGGTAGACTCAAAATAACTGAACTGACACAAATGAAAGAGAACATTGATATCTGGAATTTCAGAGTTGGAATATTCCCTAATAATATTAATTTTAGGTTTTACAACTTTAATTATAGGAATGTAAAGAAACTAAAGACACTGTATTACAACACACTCCTGGGATGACCTGGGAGCCCCTCCCACCCACTCTAGGCGAGTGCGTGCACCCAGACACGCCGTCCCTCAAAAGGCCTGTGTTTGACTCAGTACTAGGCATCTGGTGAGTATCACGAACCATTTATTTTCCTCAGTAATTTAAGACAAATTCATGAGTGGGAGACTGTGTAAGGCAAAGGGTATATCAGCTTCACAGACAACTTTGCCTCTGTTGGGATCGTGACATACATGGTTCAGTCCGTATTTTCCAGCAAGCTGAAGGCGAAAGCCAAAGGCTCCTGTCTGCGCAACCGTGAGGAGCAGGGGGCAGGGGGGAGCCCGACTGTCCGCAGGCCCTCGAACTTCACAACCACACCTGTCACTCCGGGTCAGATGGCACCTCAGGGGTGGACTACGCTGGTCTGTGCCCGTCATACCGATTTATGCTGGCTGTTGAGATGGGGAGGGGGTTCAAGTTTCTGCAGTGAAAAGGGGAGGCTGTCAGAGATAAAAAGTGTACTTGTACTTAAAATGGCTCAAAGTGTGACATTATAGGGGAGAAATTATGGGATATCTGGTGACTTCTCGTCCTGAGGAAGGATCGGGGTAATCTGCTCCTGCTTGTGTTCTCCAGTGAGCATGTAACAAAGTCATTTCATTCCAACTTATTTCACCCTGTGACTGTCCGGCAGTCCTTGACCTCTGTCTTCCGCTGCCCGTTTCCCCTGGGAGACGCGGCTTTGTGGGAGAGCATAATCAAGGAGGAAGCTGAATAACTGTTGTAAGGTCACATGTTCATGCAGAGGTGCACAGAGGGCAAAGGCCAGCAAGAGCTGACTCTAGCATGGCAGGTTGAGCCTCGACCCAGGCACCAAGAGGTCGATTCCTGGTCAGGGCACACGCCCAGGGTGTAGGCCTGATCCCCAGTGGGGGGCATGCAGGAGGCGGCCAGTCCATGTTCTCTCTCATCGATGTCTCTATCTCTCGCTCCCTCTCCCTTCCTCTCTCTCTCTACAATCAATAAAGAAAAATTTTTAAAAGAGCTGACTATAGCAGCTTTTATTAAGACTAGTATTATGGGTTTATAAGAAGAACAGTAAATGGTGTAACTGAAGCCAGGAACCCAATTACAAATAATATGCATGAAAAATATCCTTTTAATCCTTACTCAGAACCAACAGAAAAGGAAGGCAAAAGCAAGTGGCACAGCAATTCAGAACCAATTAATTATGTTTTAAATTGGACACAGAAATAAATAGTCAAAAGTAGCTATCCCAAAGATGGACTTTTCAGCGACTTCCTCTCCATGAAAATAAATAGACTATCAAAGAGGAGGTTGCTCAGAGGCTTAGATGAAAGAACACAGACCTAATGGTCTCTGAATTAGCTGGGTTCACACAGAAAATGAGATTGCTGTATTGATTAGAAGCTACCTGGTTAATGCAAGTAATCAAGACAGAAATAGGAGAACACTTACTAGTAACCGAGCCACTCATCAAATCAAGAATGGGAATCTCCTGGGCCCAGCAGCTGTGCTAAGCTGGTGGGTGGTTTGGATAGATTTCATCCTCCGATCTCCGAAGCCACAGTTTACAGAATAATATTCTTTGATATAGGCAGTTGCTATTTTTCAATATTATTAACTATGAGTAGAATAATTGGTGGAAAATGACTACTTAAAAAATATTGAGATGTAAAAAAATAATTTGGGTAAAAATTGTGTTCCTAACAAAACATAGCTTCAATCCAACCCCTAGCCCTTGTCTGCCATCAGCTTGGTGCCCTGGGCCCCCAAACTTGCAGAAATCCATCCACGCACAGCAGCAGACCCGGTGCCACGGGGTAGGAGATGTAGTCATAGATCAGGATTCTAATGATGCCTGGAAAAAAATTAATCTAGCTACTGAGAGAACTGGGAGAATGCATTCATTCCCACGACACCTAAGTGGTGCCATGAACACAGATGATCATTATGATGAACTGTAAGAAATGATTATAAAAATATGCAGACTGTTCCAGACTGTACCTTTCTACTCATCCATTCCTCTACGCACCCTCCCCAGCCATCTATCATTTCCCAGCCACCCCT